CATGACGGGGACACCATCACAACATGACCGGGACACTATCACAACATACCAGGGCACCATCAAAACATGACCGGGACACCGTCACAACATGAGCGAGACACCATCACAACATGACTGGGACACCGTCACAACATGACTGGGACACAATCACAACATGACCGGGACACCATCACAAGGTGACCGGGACACCAACATGACATGACGGGAAAACCATCACAAGATGACCAGGACACCATCACAACATGACCGGGACACCGTCACATGACCCGGACACCATCAAAACATAACCGGCACACCGCCAAACCATGACCAGGACATCATCACAACAGGACCGGGACACCGTCAAAACATGACCGGGACACCGTCACAACACGACCGGGACACCATCAAAACATGACCGGGACACCATCACAACGTGACCGGGACACCATCAAAACATGACCGGGACACCATCAAAACATGACCGGGACACCGTCGCAACATGACTGGGACACAATCACAACATGACCGGGACACCATCACAAGGTGACCGGGACAACATGACATGACGGGAAAACCATCACAAGATGACCAGGACACCATCACAACATGACCGGGACACCGTCACATGACCCGGACACCATCAAAACATAACCGGCACACCGCCAAAACATGACCAGGACACCATCACAACGGGACCGGGACACCATCAAAACATGACCGGGACACCGTCACAACACGACCGGGACACCATCAAAACATGACCGGGACACCATCGCAACATGACCGGGACACCCTCAAAACATGACCGGGACACCAGCAAAACAGGACCGGGACACCATCACAACATGACTGGGACACAATCAAAACATGATCGGGACACCATCACAACATGACCGCGCCACCATCACATGATCGGGACACCATCAAAACATGACCGGGACACCGTCACAACATGACTGGGACACAATCACAACATGACCGGGACACCATCACAAGGTGACCGGGACACCAACATGACATGACGGGAAAACCATCACAAGATGACCAGGACACCATCACAACATGACCGGGACACCGTCACATGACCCGGACACCATCAAAACATAACCGGCACACCGCCAAAACATGACCAGGACACCATCACAACAGGACCGGGACACCATCAACACCATCAAAACATGACCGGGACACCATCACAACATGACCCGGACACCATCAAAACATGACCGGGACACCATCAAAACAGGACCGGGACACCATCACAACATGACTGGGACACAATCAAAACATGATCGGACACCATCACAACATGACCGCGCCACCATCACATGATCGGGACACCATCAAAACATGACCGGGACACCGTCACAACACGACCGGGACACCATCAAAACATGACCGGGACACCATCACAACATGACTGGGTCACAATCAAAACATGATCGGGACACCATCAAAACATGACCGGGACACCAGCATCACATGACCCGGACGCCATCAAAACATGACCGGGACACCATCCGCCCACCAGCTCTGACGGTGACCCGACGGCGCCCGTCCGCCTATTAGTTTTGCAAGACCCCATAGCATGGCTATTGGGGAACTACAAGAGGAACCAAACAGCAATCAAATCGACCACTGGCTTGACAATGTGCTGGAGAATCTCGCCGCGTGTTCAACTTAAGTTAATTCAGGCCCGTTGTCCGCATCTGGTTCCTCCTTCCCCCATTTCGGACATTCCCCCCTTTACACTGGGGGGTAGTTACAGTTGTTTCAGAGTAGATGGCACAAATCCCAACCTGTCTGGTGCAACACTGACTGATGAACTGGTGAAGCAATGACGGATGGTGATGGTAATGAAAATGATCTTCATAATAATTAATCGCGTTAATACAACCATGAATATTATTGTACCATCCTCAGTCTGGTCATCATCATCATCATCATCATCATCATCATCACTGTTATCAACAACAGCAGCAACAACAACAACAACATCGTGTCCATCACAAGCATCATCACAAACCATCATGTGTGCTATCAGCATCGTCGTCGATATCATCGTCTTCTTCAACACCATCATCACCTCCACCATGACTGTCGTTGTTGTTGTTGTTGTTGTCGGTGTCGTTGTCGTTGTCGTTGTCGTTGTCGTTATCGTTGTCGTTGTTGTTGTTGTTGTTGTTAGTGATGGTGATAATGATGATTATGATGATGATGATGATGATGATGGTGATGATGATGATGACGACGAGGATGAGGATGGTAATCATGATGGTGGCGCTGATGAAAATAATGGTAATGAAGTGATGCTGCCCGGCTGACTGTCGAACACGTGCCTCGGATTGTCATTGTTACTCATTGTTGCTGTCAATTGAAAACGGAGATGGCCAAACTTCCGCACAAATCCATCAACCGGCATGCCACCCTTATACACTCCCCACAAACATCCTATTCTATATAGCCATTTGGCGGATGCACTTACAGTTCGGTTAGCCATTTCGCTTCTGTGAAAACATTGCCTGGTGGTGATGGTGTTGAAGATGATGGTGATGATTACAAAGGTGGGAGGATCGTATATAATCATGATGGTGGTGATGTTGGTGATAACGGTGACGACGGCGTTGATAATGGTGATGAATGATGCGCAAACTTCTGCACAAATGCATCCAAACGCACAGCACACAACCTCCCGCCTGGACACGGGCACGAATTCTCAAAGGACCTTACTCCAAATCCTTCTAATCTGATGCATTCTTGTTGCAAGAGCGCGCAATTGTTTCAAGAGCGCGCAATTGTTTGGGAGGTCTCATGAGGAATCCCACCACGTATCTAGTCCTGCTGCCATGATGCAAGGGATGGATCCTGCAGTCGAGCGGTTGCCTTTTCTCGCTTCTTCGCCTTGCGCTTCCTGGATCACTGGGCAAGTGAATCTGGTGAAAACTGGCTCATGTGACATGTCTTGACATGGCTTGGCTGTTCACTGCCAGTTTTGAGCAACCATGACTTGATTCACATGTGTGCCGGATTGCTCTTAGGTTGGAGGCCATCGCCACTAGGTTGCATTCTTTGTTGCCGGAGAATGCGTCGTCCACACCATCCCGCCGATCGCCTGGCATTCCGCAGCTGTGTGGGCGTCTTGGTCTCCCTCTTCCTTTTGGGCATCGCGCCATGCCAAAGCGGGCCATTGGGTCAATGAGGACTCTGCCTCCGCAAAACCTTTCAACAGCGTTGACTATAGTGGTCCCCAATGAGATAGAAATACGCTTGTGGCAGGAGCTCGACCTTTCCAGTTGCTGTGCGTGTGTTCTCAAAAACTATCAGTGTCGATACAAGCTAGAGTGTTGATGTGTTTGAACTTGCCTCAGCAAGGTTAGGCGTACGCTGCAACCGTTTTCTGTAGCCCCAACGTTAGCAGGACAGCGCGATGGGCTGCAAAAAAAAACTTCGCAATACTCAACCTCCATAATACTCACTGGGTATGTAGCAGGGTTCTTCAACCAGCGCCTCTGTACGTCCGCACGCTTGTCTTTTGGACGTGATTGGGGCCCCGGGGCCAGCAACAGAATTCTCAATTTGAACGGATATACATATATATATATAGAGTCCGTAGTTCATAATTACATCTCTATATATATATAAGAGTGAGAGAGAGAGGGAGAGCAACCCAAAGGAGGCTTTGGATGATCATTTTCCTGCGGCACACTCTTTCATGGCGGTTTCTCCACGCGTCTCTTTGGAGCGGGTCCGTCACGCGTCTCAGTGGGCTCAAGCGTTCCAAGCGGTTTCTGCTTTTTGTCAATGGTGGCCCATTCGTTGATGACACCCGCCAAATATGGCGTGCTGGGTTTGGCACCTGCTGTTGGCGCTGTCGCAGGTGCTCGTGAACCATCCTCCAGCACGATTTGAGGTGACGTGGCTTGCCATGACGGTCGCTGTGAGGTCGGACGCTCTTCTATTGGGATCCCCAGCAAATCATCAACGTATTCATCCAGCAAATCATAAGGTTCATCTTGTGGTTCCGGTGCCAAATCTTGAAACATGCCACTGGAGGGTTGCCCTCTTTCCTGGAGAGCCGGAGCTGCGCTTTGCACATTCGATGCCGTTAGCAACTCTTTCCAGTCATCATCCGCAGCTGGCTGAGGTTTGCTGCCCTCGTCGGGCAACTTGGTCTTGCCACATGCTGCTGGACCCATGGCAAGGTGCAAGGCCTGCTGAATCAGTGGCTACTGACGTGGCATGATAATCCAACCTACGATGGTCCTCAGTAGAAATGACAGGCTTAATGGACTCCAATTATACATACGAACATAATATTGTTGGCCATATATATATATATATATAACTTAGACTATTAACTATATCACGTGCTGCAACTAATCCAAGAAGTCTTCACACCTGGCAATCTTTAAACTTGCTATGTTGTAGCACTGCAGCCATAGGACACCCATCAGCCATTGCCACAGGACAAAACAACTCGCACCGTTTGTCGTTGGGTTCGATCGGATGGTTTGGCGCGCGGTACGGATTGTCTGGAGCGCTTTTGCCTGGCGCGTGCAGGGTATGGTGGCTGTGTGCGAACCATCTGATCGGGGGCGGGGAGTGTGGGTGGCTATGCAGTCATTGGTGTAATAGAACTTGTCATCGGTATCATAGAACTTATCATCGGTATCAGGGAGTTCAGTTGTCATCGCTTTCGCAGAACTTGTCTTCGACTTTATAGAACTTGTCATCGGTATCAGGGAACTTGTCATTGGCATCATCGAACTTCTCTTCGGATTCATAGAACTTGTCATCGGATACCAGTTACTTATCTGTTTGGGCTGCGGTTTCCCATTTTATACACATGGCCGTTTATAGAATAGTCGGACCAGGATGAACTGCCTATCACCTGATAGTCTCTTAGGGGCCTATGTTTGCGTTAGGTTCTCTTCAACCTATATAGTTTTTTCTAACAAAATGCTGGGGGCGGGTTTGCAGGACAAGACGTTGGAGCAGGCCTGGTCTCCAGATATGGCGGGGCGTGTGCATCTATATAGTTTGAAACAGTATGACAATGTGATATCTTGCGCTCACCTTTGTTTCTATGGGTTGTGCCTTTTGTCGAGCCCCAGGCAGTTTCTTATTTTGACCTTCCTCCCAGGCGGAAGAGGAGGAACACAAGGGAATGGTTTGTCCTGACAGAGGCCACGCCAGGGCCACTTTACAGTATAATGACATAATCGACCGGTATCCTCAGGTTATAAAATGACACAGCCCACAAAGCGGTAACAACTACACGGGTGTCTTTGTGGGGCGGGCGTTTTATACGGCCCCAGAGATGGTTTCCTAATGTTTTCCTAAGGGATCCTAAGGGACCAACGTGACAGAACAGCGCAGAGAACGTGACAGAGAACGTGCAGTGCACAGACAACATGACAGAACGTCAAAGAACGAGCAATCTGTAAAACACACTCTGGGAAGAAAACACGCCGGCAAGGACAAAAAATCCCCCCCGGAAGGTGTAATTGTTTCTTGTCCATGGCTTGCCTTTTTTGGCATCGATGGCCTGGGGCTTTAGTTTGCACCGCAGTTTATAAAAATTAATCATTATATAAGTACATTATCCCGGCAACAGGCCCCAAAAAGTGTGTTTGGAGTCTAGAGGCGTAGCAGCAGAAAGACCAGAAATCTAGATGCATTGGGGTCCAGAGAGGTGATGAAGGTGGGGAGCGTGGTGATGGTGGTGACGCGGGTGGTGATGGTGGTGATGCATGGTGGTGATGCATGGTGGTGATTGGTGGTGATTGGTGGTGATGGTGGTGATGGTGGTGATGGTGGTGGATGGGGCTTCGCAAGCTGGGAAAGGTCCACACAGTACTGCGCCTGCCACGAATTCTGCACTTCAAGGTCCACACAGTAGCGCGCCTGCCACGAAATCTGCACTTCAAGGTCCACAAAGTACTGCCCCTGCCACGAAATCTGCACTTCAAGCTCTACAAAGTGCTGCACCTGCCACGAAGCCAAATCTGCACTTCAAGGCCCACAAAGTACTGCGCCTGCCACAAAATCTGCACTTCAAGGTCCACGAGTTACTGCACCTGCCACGAAGTCTGCCCGTCAAGGCCCACAAAGTACTGCACCTGCCACGAGTCCAAAAGTCACGATTCACTGCACCTCCACGAAGTCGGACGCTGATGACCACCACCATGTCCAAAGTACTGTGCCTTCCACAAAATCTGCACATCGACATCAAGCTGCTCCGATCTCCTGCGCCTGCCAAGAAAAGACGACTTTAGACCACCAACACACGAGGTTTCCGAGGTTTCCCTTGCGCCTGCCACGACAAGTGATCACCAAGTCAAAAATGCGCACGGCACCACAACGGGAGCGCACCTCCGTCAAGCACCGTCCCGCGGCCAGCGTTTCGCACGACCCTGTGCAGAGAAATTGCACTTTGGAAGTCTCAGAACGGAACTTTTCTGCGAGCCTGCGCAACCAACACGGCCAGCTCAGAGAGAGCACCCAAATTGAACCCGGGCTCTTACACCTCCGTAAGAACCCCTCAATGTGGACACACTGTTTGGGGAACAACCGGTGTTTTTTGTGGGGCGGGCGTTTTATACGGCCCCAGAGATGGTTCCTAATGTTTTCCTAAGGGACCAAAGCAAAACAGAACGTGACAGAACCACGCAGAGAAGTTGAAAAGAACGTGCAGTGTACGGAGAACATGACAGAACGTCAAAGAACAACCAATCAAATCTGCAAAACACAATCTGTGAAAAAAAGAGAAACAAACAAACCGGCAAGGGCAACAAATTACCCCCGGAAGGAGTAACTGTTTCTTCATGGTTGGCCTTTTTGGGCATAGTTGGCCGGGGGGCTTTGGTGTGCGCCTCAGTTTACAATTGACCCCACGAAGAGGTACAACTACACGGGTGTTTTTGTAGTTTCCGTCTCGGGGAAGGCATCGTCATACCCCGTCCAGGAACAACTACAATTTTCAGGGTGTGTTGGGGTGATTTGGGGTTTTGGTCAAACCCCAGACGGTTCCTGTTGTGACCCTCTTTCCAGGCCGCACAGAAGGTGAAGAAACGAGACTGAGTTGCGCAGGCATGTCCAGGAGACTTGAGGAGGGTCAGGGACCTGAGGAACACCAAACCAGGGGTGACTTGTGGTTTGCATCTCCGGATATAAAATGCCACGACCCCACAAATTAGAACAACTACGCTGGTGTCTTTGTGGGGTGGGCATTTTATAAAGCGCCAGGGAACCCGGTCCGAGGCAAAGTGACCAGGGGCTCCAGGTGTTGACCCATCTCCAAATGCTGTTGGTTGAGGAAAAGCACATGTGTATAAAATGATTCGACCAGGTTCCCATCTTAGCTAAGTGACATCAGGCACAAACCTCGGCTGTTTTATGAAATGAATTTCCAACCCTAGATTTTTGAGCATACGCACTTTGCGCTTTATAGAAAGGGGGGTTGGAAACTGCATGTTATAGAGGAAAAGGATAACCATTTTATAGTGACATAATCAACCGGCGGGCATGTGATCGGTATCAGGGAACTTGTCATCGGCATCATCGGTCTCATAGAGCTGGTCATCGGTTTCATAGAACTTGTCTTCGGCTTCATAGACTTGTCATCGACTAATTAGTCGTGTGATTAACATGGGGTGGGGGGGTGGGGGGGATGGTTTCGTTTTGTGTGTGTTTGTGTTCTTGTTCAGACATGATATATGAATATATATGACGTGATTGTTTGCTATGATACATGCGAGGAACTTATTATTGCTTCGTTGTATTGTTTTCCGTTGGAGTTGGTGTTTCGTGTCTTCAACACAAACATGAACCAATATGTGTCCACCTTGCCCAAATACTGCGTGCATCAACGAAAAACAGCCTCCTCGAAATCCAAGCTGTTTGTTACTATTTCAAATACGCCGGTCCACGTGTACTGCATCATGTACAGTATGCAGGTACAAAAACTTGTTCTGATGCAGCCGGATACATGTTTGCCACAAGTCTCACCAATTCTCGTGGAAAATCGCGGATTAATCATGATGAATCATTGCTTTTGACAGCCAGCTCAAAGCCCTCTCAAGAGTGCCACTAAATGATGCACTTTACAGGAATACTGAATTCGTCCAAAAGACTTTAAACGACGAGTGACTACCAAAGCGTGCAATGATGATGTTCGCCTAAACATCACCATCTGGGAATAAGTAAATTGTCTTAGTCTCGCGAGCTGCAACTGGGCCGCGGGACTTGCAACCTGTATTGCTTCGAATACTAAAACAATCTAAAACATAGAAGACCATAGAACAGGATCATCAGCATGGCTACGAGCAGACACGAGGGACCGTGCTGCGTGCTTGGGAATGGGTCGAGGAAGTGGAGTCGAAACATTGGATCCAGTCCCCGTGTCCATTGTGTCCTGTCTAGTCTGAAGGGTCACAGCCTCAGTGAGAGTCACAAAGCTCTGGGAATCATTCTCTGGCAAATGTGTCGATTGCCTAGAGAGATTGGGAACCTCATCTCCCTCTCGTTCCTCCCGTGTAGTCGATACTTGTACTTTCAATGCCAACAAGGGCAACTCCCGTTGGGCGATGTCGCCTGGCGCAAGCTCTCCAGGTTTGGTGACCTCGTCTGCCTTGAGCCTTCCCCACACCTGACCCATGGCGATTTGCCAAGCAACCAGTGATGTGAGTGGCGTAAAGCTGTGTCCAACCACCTTTGAGCCGAGATGCCGCAGTGCTGCAATCCCGAACGAGCTGCCATCAAATCAGCACCAGGACCCAAGGTACTATAATGTGTTATTCCAACAGCAGACCAGACACAACATGCTCTACATCTTATCAGACTTCTTCACCTGCATTTCTCTCGTCACATGCTATATAAACTTAATAAGAACATGTCTAAACTGTTCTACACGAAGGTGCCACTTCAGGTCAGCAGCAAAGGGACAGTACATGACATGACTAGAGGCTAGGATGTTAGAGCTGATGAGCAAATGCCATCGTATTATGTGCTGAACTCGTCCACTGCCCTCCATAAACACTTCCCGTCGCTCGTTGGTGCACCACAACACACTTTCTCAAGAATTCAGTTCCGCTTCGCTTTTGTCCTGCATTGCAAGCCCAATGATTCACCAAGGCGAAGCGGCATGACACCTCTGAAATTCAGCCCTTCCAACATGTCTATCGTTTGGGCCAATTGGGGCATCAAAATCCATTCGTTGTAGTCATCTCACTGAGTCTCACCTGAAAATGCACCAGTCCTGTGGCCGCGCCATGCGCCTTGAACGCACGCGCTTACCCGGCGCCGGTGGCGCGTGCACAGGAGCGCCTTGGGTGCCTGGGAGGCCGTGAGGCGAAGCGGCGAAAATGGCGAGTGGAGCGATTGCATTGTAATTAATAGCTTCTTGTTACTACTAGTAAGGCACCTGTTACTACTAGCGA